GGAGACAATTTCGACGCCTCCTAAAGCCGTGTTGAGAGTTCCGAATGAGCGCGTTTCCTTCGAGGAAATTCAAAAGATGGTCCCTTAGTATGCTCTCCATGATCTTTCCTGGGACACTCGTGAGACTTACCGGCCTTTAATCCCGTGGATTACTCTTTTCGCCCTTCTTAAAGATCGGTGTGACGTTAGCTAGCTCATGAAAATACTACATCGAGAAAAATCCCTTTCCTTTGGGATATGTTATGTGAAGTCAATGTTCGGCCATATCTCATCCTCATAAATCTAATGTACATGTATATAGACGATCGTGACTGACTGACTGACTGACGCTAATTCTAACTATGTTCTAGAAAGGTTAGAAATCTGAAACTTGCTACACATGTACCTTTTGGGATGCAGAGTTCAGAAAAAATACAACTTTGGAGATGCATAACCTGGCGGTACACATTTTGGGGGGAAGAAGTTTTTCTTAAATATATATTGTGACGGATGATAATGGCATCGAGGGACACGACTGGATGACGGTAGCGGTAGCACACCTGACCGGCAATCGGGAAGCTAGGGTTGAATTCCCGGCCATTCCATGGCTTTTTTTTTTTAGCCTTCTATTGCTTTCCATGTTCCGTTACTCATTCCCCCTCCATAATTTTATTTCTGCATGAATAAAACGGAATACATGGAAAGCTGAAACCTGGCAAGGACGTGCCTACCGAGACGATGAGTTCTCGAAAAATGCTAAATTTTAGGTCCATGCCCTGGGGGCATATTTTTTTCGGGCCGACGTTTTCAAGCATTATTTTTTGTCCTGACGTCTTGAGCTAATGTGGAAAGATGAAACTTGGTACAGAACTACTTATTTGGATGCTGCATGTAGGAAAATTTTGAATTTGGAAGTTGATGCCATGGGGGCACAAATTTCAAAGGGTGATATTTTAAAATAATTTTTTGCATCAGTTAAACTGTTGAACATGGAAAGCTGAAACTTTCCGCGAATGTGACTACTGAGGCAAGGAGTTAAATAAAAATGTTAAGTCTCCATACATCCCCTGGACTAATTTTTCCGAGGTGCGATGTTTTGAAATAAAAATTGTCTTGGCGAATTGGACAGAAATGGAAAGGTGAAACTTGGCAAGAACGTGACTGCTGACGCAGTGAGCTGAAATGTCAAGTGTCAAGTTTCCAAAATATTTTTTTGGGGGGATATTTCTTGGGTTCTGCTTTCCATTCGATGACGCTTTCGGCCAGTTGGGGACTAATGAGTATCCCTACTCCTGCCTGAGCAAACACGGTCGAATCCACTCATTATTCATTTAATGGGTCAAGTTTAGGACAAAGCCTTCCTTTAGCGGCGAAAATCAGCGCGCGGAAACGAAGCGGCGGGAGAATCGCCCATTCCATTTTCTGCTTCTCGGCTGATCCTCGTGGCCTTGTCTGTCGACTAACCGGGAAGGGGGACGGGGGGGGGGGGGGGGGGGGGGCCCGGTCCGGGGGGGGGAGGTGGGGGGGGGGGGGGGGGGGGGGGGGGGGGGGGGGGGGCGAGTGAGCCAGTTCCGGCGAGTGCAGTGCGGGTCGATGATGCAAGTCGGGGTTTGCCGGAGCATGTGTCGACATGCATCAGATATGAGATGTGATGCCATTCGTGAGGTCACGCCCTCTGGCCGAGCCGGTTCTTTCCACGCTTCCGCTGTCTGTTCGCAAGGGAGCGCTGCTGCAATATGCTAATTATTAATTAGAATCATTCATAATTATGAATGCAATTTCAACTAGGAACTGGCCTTGCTGCTTGGCGCTATCGCGGCGGCATTTCGTGCGAACGGATCGCGAAATCAACTTTCAACTCAGATACAACGAGAGTTCAAATGATTCATTCGTTCGATCCAGAGAGAGAAAAGAAAAATTATCCTTACGTTTCCGTCCAGTCTTGAGGGTCTAGTAGGATATTATGCCAATCTGGGGCCAAATCCACGACTCACACTGACTCGTGCGTTTTCGCATCTCCTTGCGATTTCTCTTCAATGTCGCACTTTCCAATGTCAGTCTTTTTTATTTTAACTTCCGGCTGTTAATTATTCTCGTGATGGAGCATCATCACCATGACAAAATTAGTTTTAATTGCAGAGATTTTTCCTTTGGACGTCATGGCGCCAGTCGTCTTTCCCTTGAGAGTTCGGAGATGAAATTTTGGCGATTAATTCGCGATGCATACTCGAAAGTTAATGCCTTCTCGACCTTCTCGGAAAGAAAATTCACTGGAGACAGATTTCCATGAAAAATGAGAGATGCCGGTCGATACCATATTAGAAGCTCGTTCGGATTTGCTCGAGAACAATCGAACAGGATAAAAATCGATAGCATGATGGACGGATGTCAAATATGATATATGCCCAGCTGCATGTTCAAGGAAACAAGATATCAATTTTTTGCAAACAATGTAAATTTCTTGAGATTGCCATGAAAATGACATCACGCTTACGTAAAATTTACGTTAATATATTTATGTCACCAAAGTGTACGTGGGCCCGAGTTTTCCCTCTCCCTTTCAACACGGCCTGCGCTTGTCCTGCCGACCTCACACCTGTTCCCACCCCGCCCTCCGTTCCCTCATCCAAGCTGACCTCCCTCAACCCGAGAAACTTGTTTCGGTCTTAATGACTGCCTCCTGGAATCGCTTAACCTTCGCCCCCTTTACGACCTGAGCCCAACTACTAGCCACCTAGGAGTCGGCACTGTCAAAGGACGCAAAGGGCCACCCTCCCAGTAAAGTCCGGAATGCTGGGAGTGTCTCCTCCACCCTAGCCAGCCTCGCCACTAAATCATCCTGATATACCTCACCCACCTCCTTCCTGATCCCTCTTATCTCCTCTCAGGAGTGCATTAGTAGTAATTCGCGATTCGGTATCCGGTATCATGTATCCAGTAATACTGTACACTAACTAAGTAATTAAGCTGATTGATACTGATCTAATGTGAAGTTGGAGGCAGCTATCAGAAAACTTTTGAATACTGCTACAAAGTAGCCAGTTAACAACTAACTCACGACTTCGCTGACAGAACCTCGAGAATATCCTCCAACAGGTCCTCACGCTACGAACGCTCGACCAAAACTGGTTTTTCATCATTTATGGTTGTTCGTGGCACTCCATTCATTTTGGAGTTCCACGCACGAATGAGTTAGTTGCGTTTATTGCCGTATCTTAATCTTCCTGCAAATACTTATTGATTGTCCTAACCTTCTTGCTGATTGCTAGTGGCTATTTACTTCTTCCTCAGGCTCTTGCTGCGTTTTGTTTTCACCTTTGGGGTTTCCCATTACTTTGCAAATGGCAATATCCCCGCTTATTATAGGTAATTATGAATTGGAAGTCGGATGTGACCTGCATAAGTACGACAGAAGACTGAACGATGAGAGTACGAAATGAAAAACCTTGCCGTCGGGAGAATACAGGAAATGTCCCAGTATGAAGTTACGGAATTCACAGATGGTTCATTTTCGGTCAATTCCGGTCTGCACTGCTGATACTTTAGGAAGTTTGCGTGTCAATCACCTCTTACTCGGTCATAAAACTATCAAAGGACTGAATGGTGGTGCAATCTACATTGGCATATGCCATAAATACATTTATGGATAATGTTCGACGCTTCTCGAACAAACGGACTCTCGCTATAGAGCACGATATTCTGCGAGGAGGAGTACCTTGCTTCCATTGTCCGCACGTCATTATTTACCCAGTTAAGATGAAAGAGTTGTAATCGCAGTGATGTCACAGTACATATAACACTATCCGTGAAACTATTGATAGATAAAGTACTGATTGAGGGTCATACAGGAAAATGATACAACGGAAAAGTGATATGTTGCGGGATTCCCAGATTTGCCCTGCATCATCTGACACTTCCAGGTTTACATTCAATTCAACAAGTCATTGTAGTACATCTTGTCCACTTTAGGCATCTAGGCATACTTTCACGAGCTAGTATCTTCCATTTGTTGAGACTCCCCTCACAAAATACAACATGAATTTTAGGCCTGTTGTTCTTGGAGATATGCACCTTACTTTGGATTTGGTATATTGCAGATGCTGACCTTGTGAAAAACATAATCACTATTGAACTAGTTTAACTTAACATCGAATGGTGATCCACAAGTGAATTATAGCTGAATTAACGAAATGGAATAGCTTAGAAATTGAGATTTTGGTAGGGGACTCTTAGTCATTGCAGTTTGACTCCTATTGATTAGGTTTATGCGATTCTTCCTGTTCACAGCAAGAAGAACATCTGAAAAAGAAACAGATGAACAGAACTCAGATATTCTGCTGTTATGTTAAAGTCATGTTAAAAGTGAGGAAAGTTGTATGCGGAAGGGAGGATGATGAAATGAGTGAAAAATGTAAATAATGAAAACTGCCTTGCGAATTCAATAGTAACGCCAGGAATATGTTCGAAAAGAGGGAACTTTATTCTGTTGCGTGTTACATGTGAGACCGTTCTCATTCGTTCTCGGGAATGTTGCGCTGAGGGCGATCGCCACAATTCACTTGGTCGGCGTGATTGCAGGTCAGTAGGCATTGATCCCAAAGAGTCCCTTCGGGGCAGTCCTGGAGAATAAAGGAAATAATATTTATACATTGTGACCCTGGTCAGAAGATGAGAATGTTTACGTAAAAAAAACGTACGAAATAAAATTCCTGCCCGTGGTCACATCGAATGAAGGCTCCACAGTCAAGTGGGTTTTCAAGGAACGCCCCGTCGCATTGATTGGCACAGAGGCCATCGAGACAAGGGTTCTCTGTAGTCGGACAAGGCGGGTGGGTAGTGCAGGTGCTGGTAGTCGTGCAGGGTGGGGTAGTCGTGCAGGTGGTGGTTGGCGTGCATGTCGTGGTAGTCGGGCAGGGGGGGGTAGTCGTGCAGGTGGTGGTTGGCGTGCATGTCGTGGTAGTCGGGCAGGGGGGTGTAGTCGTGCAGGGTGGGGGTGTGCCGGTTGTGGTGGTTTCGCATTCTTAATGACATCCATGATCCGCGCAGATGTGCGGATTCACGGGAGCATTGCAGCAAACGTTTTCCGGCCAATCACAGACGTTCAATGCAGGGTTGAACATGAGACCGTCTGGACAGGCATGGTAGTAGGCTTTCCCATTCGAGCATTGGCAGAAGCTGCCACAATCTTCTGGGTGTGGGAAGTAGGTCCCTTCGCCGCAGTCTGGTTCGTGGCATTCATCGTCGAGGCACTCGCAGCCGCACTGGCACCTCCAAATTTTCTCTTGAAGAAGGCCAGCTTTTACAAGATCTTTGTGAATTGTCCCAGCATTTGCTGCTAACGCAAATGTCAGCAGGCTTGCTATGACCACTGCGAATCTCATCTTGACTGCAACGACAAAATAAATGATTCTGAAGATTGGGAATGAGTTTGTTGAGGAAAGCCCACCCCAAGGAATGTGCTTTTAACAATTATCACCTGCAATCATATCTGACATCCATTATGAATATTTTAAAATTATTTTTCTCTCATAGATATTTCCTCTTGGTTTCATTTGTGAGAAGATAAATTTTCCGTGATTATGTGTAAAATAAGATGACCAGTGAGGAAATTCTTCTGGATATCGTTCTTTGGTCTCTAACGATTTATCATATGCCTAATTCTAAACATCAGCGAACTCGTGGATGTACGATATCTTATCTTTCAATACACTAGGATGCTTTTCGCAGAAATGACCTGGTGTTCATACAATTTTCCTGGGGACCCGTTCATTCCAGTTATATTCCTAACTAACGCTCTTCTCTGCATATGTAAACATAGAGAAAACGATGGGATGAAAAACATTCATTTACTCAAAGGCTTTCAGTCCCAAGTCCAAGTAAAGTCCTTGTTTTTATTCTCAAAATGTCTTAGACATTCATGAACTTTTGTGGTTATCTTTCGAGCGGAAGATATATTTCGCTCACGTCGCTCAAAAGCGATGCACAGTTTAGGCACAGTGTGCCCGTGCCCATTTCGACTCGGAATATACAGGTCCTTGGGGTCGGCCTTCTTAGAGGAATATGAATCTTCTCCAATCTTCTCCGTTACAAATCGAAGAGGAATGAGGAATACATTGTTGCATCTAAATTAGAATAGCCTGTACCAATGGGACAGACTTTCCCAATTTAGAAAGTCGTCGACGCTACTCCATAGGTACTCAATATGGGAACCAATATCGATATGAGAGATTCCTTCGAATGCGAGACATGTTCTTATGGAAATAGAATCAAGAAGTGCGACGAGAAAAAGTTTCGCAATGGAAAAAGAAAATGGGAGTGGACTCACCTTGCCTTTAGCCGGTAAACGTGTGGTAATGCTGCAGTCTCAACCAGGTGCCAACTGTACCGATGTTTCCCCTCCAAGCCCGAGTTTTTAAGGCTTCAACTTATCTTGGGGTAATCCTGCCGTTAAGCTCCCTGTTTGCATCTGTTTTCCACTCTTGCGGCATTTTCCTCGGATTCTTACAACCCGGATTACCCCATTTTCATTTTCCCGAATATAAATCAGTCAAGTCGAAGTGACATGCTTAATGCATCTACTTACCTAGTAGATATGAGTGACCTTGTCTGAAAATAGTTTTTAACGACCGTCACTCTAACCTGAAAAGAATGAAATTAATGATTCATTAGAATTTTTCTGCAGGGGAAGCTGGAGACTTCCACATGATTTTCGCTAATTTCCTCCCATCCGATGATTCCATCATCTGAAGGAATTTTAAAAAGGGAAACAATTTGTTTCCCTTAATTATTAAATACCTGATCCAATACCCTTTCGACATTACAAGTGTGGTCAACGTTGAGTTTAGATTGACTTTTCCAATTAGCAACCTTAGAAATGAAACATAGTTCATCGTTGAAAATGAGTTAATGTGCCACGTGGTTCCAATGGTAAATTTTTTCAAACTTTGGGCGTTACCTCCTCATCATCCTGTCCGCGAACGCCCGCTAATATTGATTAGATCGTGGAAGTACTCTAGTGAGTACTATCATTCCACGGAGGGGTCCTTCTGAGGTTGTCTCTACTCTTACTGGATAAGAGTTCGTGTAACGAATTTCCTGGAATCATCCCCACGTTTATCTCCCATGCAGGAGAAGTGCCAAACACACCCTCTCAGGCCAGTTAACACGCTTGGTCATTCTCCAAATTTCCCTTGCTTCGGCAGCATCCAGTGTCGTAGCAACCGCCTAAGCAATCCCCTCAATTGCGGGGGGGCCCCAGACCCAGTGGGGCCCAAAATTCCCATTAAACATGTGACATTTTTTAATGTAAACAAATATATGCAAAAATAAAACAATTACAGTAAAAAGAAGTAAATGGTCATCGCCCAGGGGAGAGGGGGTGGGCCGCCTTGGTTGGAGTCAGCACCCCTTGCAAACCCGTCAGAATATCAAACCATCATAGGCGAGTTTAGAGTTGTTTACTTATCTTTGGGGAAGGCAACTCTCCCATCATTAGGCCATAGCATTGCGAGTTAATTTGATGCAAGATCTGCACCCTGGCTGGCAAGCACAGAGTATGTCTTATAAAAAGTGTCCCAAAGGTGTGATGTCCCAACATATTTCTTCCTTTGTTATTATTTGTAATGAGTAGCAAGACTAGTGGCACTGCTAAGAGGAAAAAACAACGGCAAGCAGATCGAGAGCTACAAAAAGTGAAGAATATTGTTTTTTTTTATGGAGGAGCTTCAAGCTCTGATGATGCTGCTATTTTCGAAGCCAATCCCCAAGAACCGCATAGTGAAGCCACTAATAATAGTTTCCTGGCAAAAGAGGATGCTACTGACGATCCTGGTTTCGCCTTGGAAGATTATCACATCATTTCACGAACGGGACAGACGCTCCTGAACTGGAAATCGTCGTGGCTTTAGCAGAAGTAAGCGAGCCAGTGCCAGGCTGCCTGGGTCCTGTAGCAGCTGCATCTCAAGACTCGTTCGGTGCTCTTTTGCGCGAGAGACACCCAACCTACAGAGGAAACTTTCCAACGGATTTAGTCACCTCCCAGATGGAGAGATTTGTTCCAGAGCAAGGACCATGCCGAGCGAAGGGGCCCTACCCAAAGGATAAAATTCAAGTCCTCTCGTTCTCAGAGTCATATTACAGTACTACAGCGAAATCGGGGCTGTCCATCCCCGTAACCTGGCTGTGTTTTTCCCGGAGACTGCGACCCGGCTTTCCCCCTCTCTCTTGGTAACATTCCAGTGGCTCCGACAGACGTTCGCCGGTGCACTAACACGCACACCTCTCACTCCCCAGTCTTTACATTATCCTCTTTCCTGCCTCTCCTGTCACATGCCCCTGCCCAACTCCCTTCTTCCTACTGTGCTTTCCCTTGCAGCTTCTTCATTATGACTTTCTCTTCCCCATTCGCATCCAGTGACATTCGGTCGCTCTGCCCTAGGCCGTTGTTGCCTGATGCGCAAGACCTGCAAGGTTATGCCTTTGAAGGCCGTAGGCTAGACAGAAGGACACGGGATGGGTACCAGTACGCTTGTGGA